CAGTAATTAATCAAAATATCTTACCAGATGATTTCGATATAGAAGTTATGAACATAACCAGTTTAAATACAGCTTTTGATGATAGTATTGGTTATGAAGATGCATCTGAAGATGAACCTATTACTGAACAACCTAAACATAGAAAAATTAATATCAATATACCACAAGATAGCACAAATTTTGAAAATCGTATTAAAGTAGCATTATATTAATCAATGAATTATTATTGGAAAGTTTCTTAAGATCAAGGAATGTTGGCTGCTTTGTTAGATCCAAGGTTTAAAGAATTTGAATTTGCTTCTGATTCATTGCGTATTAAAACTCAAGAGCAGTTAAGAGATGTTTATCAAGATGCAAAGGATTTGACTGATAAAGATCAAGAACCTGAATTATAACCAGTTTCATCAAATTCATTGTTAGCAAGGATGTTTCGAAACAATATCATTCATGATAAAGTAGCTAGTTATTTGGCTTTACCTAAGGTTCATCCCGATGACTGTCCTTTATTATGGTGAAAAATTAATAAGGTTCAGTTTCCAATATTATTAAAATTAGCAAGAAAATACTTGGTCATTCCTGCTACCTCAACTCCAAGTGAAAGGCTTTTTAGTGAAGCTGGTAATATAATGACCATAAAAAGAACACAGTTAGCACCAACCACATTAGAAAATTTGGTTTTTTGTAAAAAAAATTGGTGTTTAGCTGGAGGGGTTTTTTCATTAAAATAGTAACGCAATGTCAAAAAGTCGAGAAATTTGATTCTTACCTATAGCAATGATACCAATGATATTAACAAAGGCATTCACATCGGAAATAAAAAAATCTTTTTTTGAAGGACTTAATTGAGAAAAAACTTGCAAAGTACAATGGCTTAGAGAATGTAAAATTAATATACATAATAAATAAACTTTTATTTTTTTAATAAAATTTTTGATAAATTTTTATCCGTCATTATCTGCTTTACTATGTTATTATTCAGGTAACGGATTTATCCATAAAATAAATTTATCTGTACAGATTTATTCAGATTTACCCAGATTTTTCACAGATAGCAATCCGTATCCATAATGGAGTCTGCGAATTATCTGTTTGTGAATAAATAGATATCCAGATCAGATTACTACTTTTGCTTCTTTTCTTATAGCATACTGTAGGTTCTCGTAATGTAAGTCTTTACTTGTTTAGAACTGGTTATTATAGCCTCTGTTGGCCTGTATCAATATGTAGTCTTTCAGAACATCATTGGGATCATCAAGCTAACTTTAGTAAACTGATACACGCTAGTCGTAATAAGATGCTCAACTTTACAATTCTAATATTCAGCCATTTCTCTATTCAGACTGTAGATTTTTACTGGGAAGAGAGTTGCAAAAAGAGTACTGAAACTTAGTGTGATCAATTCCAAATAGAATTCAGGCTGTGATCGTTACCAATAGAGAACATACTAAACATTAATGTCAGTTTTCAAAAAATAAAAAAATTGTATGTTTCTGTAAAAAAATAAAAAATTATTGAAAAAATAAAAGCGTGCAATACTTTTGTCTCTCCTTTTCCCCAGTATATTATTATATTAAATACAATTAAAGTCCAACCAATATATAATTACGCAGGAATGATTTTTTATTAATGGTTTGAATACATTAAGATCTACAAGTGTACTATTCTATGACGTATGTGTATAAATACATAATTTTTGCAAGAGATTTATCTAGATTGATATGTATTAGTAATCTTATCTAAATTTGTAAGTGATTTACTTTTTTATACTATATAATTAAATATTTTAACTTAATTAAGTACTGATTAAATAATTAATGTTATCAATCAATAAATGATTGTCGATTTTTTAAATTTACTTATGATTAAAATATAATTATGTAGAAATGATTTTGTAATAGTAAAAATAAAGTGTACAAATTTATGTAATTTTATTTTTGAACAAAGAAAAATTCTATTAAAAAAATCATTTATGTTGTCATATCATCCTCATACGTTATAAATAATTTCATATTTTTTCAGACTCTTCTTTCTCTTTGCTTCTTAGCCATGAAATTTTTTATAAATTTGTTTTTTTAATGACTTTTATAATTTTTTTTCTTCTTGCTATACTCGATTGTTAATTTTTTTATTATAAGTTATTTTTTTAGCTAATGACTTTTATAATTTTTTTTTGTTGCTGTAATCAGTTTTGGTTAATTTTTTTTATTATAAGTTGTTTTTTTTTTTTCTTATTGTTCAGTTTTGGTTAATTTTTTTGTTAAGTTATTTTTTTTGTAAATACTTTTATAATTATTCTTCTTGCTGTTCTTGGCCTACAAATTCTTTTAAACATAAACTATAAGTTGCTTAAGTAGAGTATCACAAGCACTACTTCCTATAACAAACAGAATAAAACAAGTTTTCAGGATAGTAATAAGAACCTCTGAAACATCTAATCAAACTTTTAACTATGTTTTTAATAATTGTTTCATTTTAAATCTATTTATGAGAAAATACATGGAGTTTTATGTTTTCTTAGTGTGAAGAATAATGCTAAGTTCAAATTATTTATAGACAAGCATTATTATTTAAAAACATAATAGAATTAAAATTATTTTAATTGTTATTATATTCTTCGTTAAATGAACTAACAATAAACTTTTTTTTTAAAAAAAAATTATATAACTAACAATTTCTCAAGTATTAAGAGAAACTTTATTTACATAAGTTCAAATAAGATTGTTGTCAGAATCAGACTTTGAATTTTATAAGAAGAAATCATCTTATCATTGTAAGAGGGATGAAACTATACTTATTTTTAACCACTTAAATGAAATTGATAGGGTTGTTGATTTGGAAACATTAAATAGTTTGAAGAATTTTAGATTATATGTTATAAATTTGAAAGACAAATCAAAGATAAAAATTTGAAATTTTAGAGAAAAAAGAAAAAAAATTCAAGAAGAATTATATAATTAACAACACAAGTTGTTAATTATATTGAAGATATGATACTGCCTCCATTTTTAGGATCAATGTTTATCATACTGAAAGATCAATTAGATTTGTATAAACTATATAAGTTAGTTTTATAACAAATATCATTAATATATATATGAAACCTGTGAGGTAGTAAAGAATATTACAAAAAAATTATCAACATATGAAAAAATTATTCTTTTTTAAAGAATAATAAAAGAAAAAGTAGGAATTTTTTTTCTTCCTTTAAGAAAAAGTTAAAGGAAATTTTATTGAATGCGACTGGTGAATTTGGATATTTAGAAAAAAAAATTTAAATAAAAGAGAGGCAAATCAAAAAAGAATTTGATTCATGTATAATAAGTTATACAAGAAGTTCAGTATATTCAAGCTGAACAATTCAAATTTTAATGAAAATTTGGATATTAAAGAATATCCCCCGGTTGTAGTAGAAAGAATAGAATTACGTGATAAAAATTTAAATAAAATCGATTCAATTTTTTCAAATTATGATATATCGAGTTTTAAAATAATTGAAGGTATGTACTAAAACTTAATATAGCATTAAAATTTATTTGATAAAAATTAATTCTAATATATTAAATTTATTTTATATAGGAAATTATCATTACGTCAATAATGATAATAAAACTTTATTTAGGTTGTTTGAAGTTTCAAAAGAGAAGATGGATTTGGTTAATAATGCAGATAATATAGTTCAATCTTATTGGACTTATATCCATAATGATCAAATTTATGCTTCTCCAAAATTTAAAGGGTTTAATTATAAACCATCAGATATATTATCAAAAAAAGTATTAATGTTGTTGATTTTGTGATATATGGAAGGTTTGCTAGGAAAATGGGACTCTGGGTATTTTTTATTAAAATTTTAATTTTCATTATAATTTAATGTTTGATAATGTTAGATTAAAATGCAATAAAAATTAAAATTTTAATAAAAAATGCTCAGAGCCTCATTTTCCTAGCAAACCTTCCATATGTTTAAGCATTTAATTAATTTACTACTTTATTATTTAATTAGCAACAGTATCATCAGCAACAACACCATCGTCATCGTCATCAGTAGCAGCAGCAGCGCCATCATCATCATCATCAGCACCATCATCATCAACAGCAGCAGCATTATCATCAGAAACCACAACTATTTACGCAACATTTCGGCATTTACAGAAATAATAATATACTTCATTCAATTTTGAATACAACAAAATGGGTTAAGAATATGAAATTAACGAGTTTAATGATTATGTAATCATATACTTAATACAGGCTCATTTAGCATCCGATTATACAAACTTGTTTTTTCTTATAATAATTTCCGTTAGTTAATAAAATATACTAAAGAGCTAGTTAATATTCATAGTAATTTTAAAGATTTATTATTATAATTCAGAATTTTTTAAACTAAAATTTTGCTTGGATACTGAAAGCTATTCCTTAAAATACACTTGTAAATAAGTCCTTTTATTCTTTCGAAGGTAATTTGTTATAACAAAAGAAATTAAGGAAAATAATAAAAGTGAAATTGACTGCGGCTGCGCACACGGCAATAAAAGTATTGAACCATTCATTTGAGGGTTCTATGCTGTCTGAAAGTTTAGGTGGTTTGCCTCTTATTTGGAGTTTTACTTTAAAAAACATTACTAATAGATTTGCCGAATCAACAAAATGCTAACTAGTTATAAATCTCAGAGCTTTTAAAGCATGATCTGCTGATAATATAGATATTGTATTTATTTAAATATTTAACAATTCTCACAAATTATTATTAAAATATAAAAATATAAAAATAAAAAATGAAAGAAAAAATCATTAATTTACGAATCTCAACGTAAATTATTATTATTTTTTTTAGTCTTGATGTTGCTATCTTCGTCATATAGCCAGTGTTTTTTTTGTTCGATAAATATCAAAATTGATAAATCAATCAACATCAAGAATTAAATATTATCTATCTGAACAAGCAAGAGACTAGAAATTAATTTTTTATATCACATTTTACATTCTGGAATAACATATCAGCCTTTGTCTCCAAGAAACCTCTGCAATAATACTGCAGTAGCAGCATTAACATTCAATGAGTCAATGTATTCTAATTTATTCACGTGTGGTGATGGTATATACAAATGATAATGACATGAATCTAAGATATTTGGGCGGAGACCTATACCTAAGAATTTTTATTAGACAATAATAAACAGCATAGTGACATTTCAAAATAGTAATTCTTACCTTCGCTTCCAATGACTAGAATTATGGGGTTTTGTGACGAAGGATTTTTTAATTCACCTATAGATATAGAGCTCTTTATAGAATTATTATTGTTTTTAACATTTGATACCGCTCCATAGATAATCCAACCGTTATGTGATGATTCATTTAAAAAGTTTGTTAAATTATCAACATTATACACATCCATGATTTCAAGGGCACCCGAACTTGCTTTAGTTGTAACCGCGGATAATGGAGCACTATAAAAATGAATGAATGACATTGAGTTTTTAACTTTTTGAATTAAATTGAACAATTGTAATGGACCAACCTATTGTTTGAGCACATTACAAGACCATTTACATTAAAAAAGTAAGCAGATCTATTAATTAAAATTAAATTAAAGTTATTTTATTTTGAAAAAATAAATTAATAAATAGTAAAATAAAGATAATAATTCTTTGTTTAAACCTAATAATAGCGCCTAAATTCTATATGTTTAAATTCTAATTAGGTAAATATAAATATTTTTATGAATTATTACATTCAACTGAAATAAGACTAACCTGTGGATCAACGACTTGATCAAGTGCGAGCCAAAAAGGCCGAATTCCATTTTGTGGAATATTAAGTGTCATTAAAGAATTAAATGGTTTAATGACTTGATATCTATTGAAGTAAGCTTATCATTAACATGTACTCTGTCGTTATATTTAAGTGATAAAGATTTATTCTTATTCTTATTACGTTTTATTGTAGTGTTTCCCAAGATGTTTAATTTTTATGGGTTCAATTTTTGAAGCTTTTAAGATTATTCCCTGAAAAGGTTCGATCATATTATAAGTATAAAGCAATTAACTTAATAAAAAAGGATTTAATCTTGCCTGATGTGGTCTATCATCTTTTAATAATTTATTCAATTCATCTTTAGTCGTTTTCACAATTGGAATATTTGTTTCATCTGCTAATGATAATATCTTTTCAGGTATAATTCGACTATTCTCAAATTAAGATAAAATTATTTTAAATTAGTTTATTAAGTCATTCGTTACAATTAGATAAAATTCGTTTTTCACCTTTCTTTTCTACGGAATAGAATTCCTTCTTGAACAAATAATCGATAGAATTTTCTTCGTTTTTGCTCAAGTGCAGGTAATACAACCGAAAGACCATATAAATAGTCAAAATCATCTTTTCGTTGCCTAGTTTAGATAAAAGTAAAGAACAAAAATAGTCTATAACAAATTTATGTTTCAACAAAAAAAAAAAAAAAAATCTTTAAATAATTTATACTACATGGAAGAACCTTTGTAAATGTTTTGCTTAACATTATTTTTATAAGAATTCTTGAAATCTAAATAAAAGGATAAATATTTAAAGTAAAATTTTGAAAAATATAAGACGCATGTGGGTTTATTTCGTACCGGAAAGGTCGCTTCTTTTGTTCTGATGATATGCTTTACGGTATATAGCTGTAATATTCTTTGTCAGCATAGACGACAGAGAACGTAAAGCCAACGCATGATAAGAATTGAAAGTTAACATAAGAAATTCAAAAATATGTGAAAAAAAATTTTTGTAACACAAGCCCTGTTCTGATAGGAAAAATTAGCCGCGTGATGACAAATATGATATTAGTAAAAAATTGAAAAAACTATAATTATAAAAAAGTATAAAAAAATTAATAGGAAAATAATACATTTATATAAGTTTTGTATAAGTATTTAATAATTATGTATCACAATTCCATATATTTTAAAAAGTTTTATTATTTTATAATTTTTAGAAAACTAAACTTTTCTTTCAAATTTTTTGAAAACAGAAATTTTTTAGAAAATAAAATGTTTACTAAAATTTTATCAATAATTCTCAATTCTACTTAGTTAATTTATTAAAATACTTTTATTTTTTAAAGAAATTATTAAAATTATAATTGAAAATGATATTTAAAAACAAATTCTAAAGCTAAACAATCTGAGTTTATTACTTTTACTTCAGGTATTTACCAAATAAAAACTTTATTACTGATAAAGATTTACTAAAAATTACCTTTTAACTACTACTTATCAATAAAAGATGTAAAACTATAAAACTGATTATCATAATTTTATTATTATTTCACATTTACAGTTAATTTCATAATTTATAAATTACTAATAAATTGTAACTGAATGCGACTAAAAATTTTTTATAATAAAATTACTATAAAATTTTGCGATTAAATGTGACTGAAAAATTATTAATAGTTCATGAATTATTAATTAGCTATAATACTATTTACTTGTGTTTTTACTATTTTAAAAAAACTGCTAAGAACTTTTAACTTTTACTATTATTAAATCTATCAATTATCATTTTATATAAGATAATTAATATATTTAAAAAAATTAATATTTATTATATAAATTTGTTAGATTATGATAATGTAATCTATTTTAATACTAAGGAATTAATATATATAGATTTTTTAATAAAGAATATAAAGATAATATGTAATTTCAATTACAGACGATCATCTTTATAATCATCTCCTATATAATTATGCTCTTTTTTAGTCATATTATAGTTTATTCCCAATTTTTTAAATAAGAAAATACAATATCTTTTTTATAATCACAATAATATATAAAAATATAATCACATCAATTTTAGTTCTATCTAATTCTATTATACAAATATTATCTAAAATATCAAAAATAAAAGGAGTATAATCTCAGTCAATACTGCTCTGTTTCTCATAAAATAACTACCATTTGAATCTTTAAAATTAGACAAATTCAATAAGTTAATATATTTTACATTAATTTCATATTTTAAAGATGCAGTAATGTATTTATTTATTTTTAAAATTTATAATCAGTTAAAAAAAAATAAAGATCCCCAAAAAAGGGTATAAAAGTAGAAAAAATAAAAAATGCTGCTTAATTATCATCATTAGTAAACTAATTCTAATTTAACTAACTGATTATCCTATCAGTCTTCAGTAATAATCACTAATAAAATTACCATCATTTGGGGTTTCCGTTTAAAAATAGAATATTTGAATATTTGTGTCAAATAAAAAAAATCAAATATTTGAAATTGATTGACTGATTTCAAATATTCGAAAACATTTCAAATATCAAAAATCATTTCAAATATTAAAATTAATTTCAAATATCAAAAATCATTTCAAATATCAAAATTAATTAATTTCAAATATCAAAAATCATTTCAAATATCAAAATTAATTTCAAGTATCAAAAATCATTTCAATATTCGTTTGAATATTTTTTAAAAAACTTTCAAATATTTGAAATTCAATTTGAATTTCAAACGGAAACCCTACCATCATCACCTAACTAAAGTAGAGATAAACATTTGACAATAGTTATTATTATGTTAAAAAGAGACCAGTTTTGTTCATAAATATAAGATTGTATCATTAGAGATGTATGATTATATTTTAATTCAGAAATGAAAGAGAAAGAGTTAGAAAATCTGTTAATAGTAAAATTGTTTGAAGGACTGTAATTATGTTTTTTACTATACAGTCAACCCCTCTATATTCACCCTTCAGATATAGTCACATTTTCTTTTATAAGTACATTTGCACTTTCCATCACACATTATTCCAATCTAGAATTGATACTATATTTGCCTCATCTAACCTAATTTCTAACTTTCTCTATTCTGATATTGAATCACCTGAACTCTACTCCTCTGATCACAAAATTGTTTATGCTCACTTTGCTGATATCAAAAGAC